TATAGAATCTATTTTTTTTATATCATATATATAACAAGAACAAATTCACTTTTCTTCAAGCTTTCTACTTTTGGTTTGATCAAGACTGGATTTAAAAATACGAACTTTTTCTTTAATACAATAACTTTCTACTTAATACTTATTATAGTAATATTTAATTTATTTTTGTTGGTTATTTTGAAATATTTTTCTATAATTAATTCTAAATAAAAATTAATTTTTTAAAAGAGCTTCAACATGATACAATATTTGAGCCTAAAGAGACTCTTCATCAGGAGGCAAAAACATAATTTAATCTCAATAGAAGTAATAGTATCTCTTCTATAAACAAGAAAAATAGCTTATATTAAGTAATAGATTGTTAAGTAGTTCTATATACAGGAGGAATGTATATATCTTAGTGTTCTCTAAATTGACTTACATATTTAGCTAGAACTTCACAAAGAGTATAATTAAATTTTTCTACAAAACTATTAGTCTGAAGTAATATAGAGTAAACAGACTATACTTGATTTCTATAAAAATACAAAGTGAATATACAACCTTATTATAGAAATGTTTTTCTTATTTAGATAAAAGAATTCTAGAACTTCCATGATAGCGAATTATACCTTGAAAAAAAAAGTTGCAATATTAAAAGTGTTGGTTACTTGAATAGTATAGTTTTTAGCTACTTAGTAAGGTAATTTATAGCTACTATATATATATTACTTTGAGAAGTTATAAAAAGAGAACTGACAATATCTATACCAACTTAATCAAATAGCAAACTAGCTTGAATAGAATATAAAAGCTTTTTAGTATGCAGTCTACCTCTTTTTTAACAATATAACTTTTTATATCTTCTTTTATTAAGGCCAAAAATACTTAAAAGTTTTATGATGAGTGAATATAATATTAAAATGGCTAGCTATAAAATCTAAGTAAAGACTATATAATATAGCCTTTATCTTATCTTTCTTTAGTATTTTAAAGATTTTTTAGATTTTCATATATAAAAATTCAATAAGGACAAAAAGTATCTAGTTTGATATTTTAATTTTTTAACTTGTGATAAGTTATAATCAGAGAAAATAGTAAAATTAATAAGATAATTTAAAAACAGATTATAAGTTTTAAGATCTATTATAAATAATAATTTGTAAATGATTCAAAATTAAGAATTTTTTTATATAATATCTGGCAGAGAAGTAATTATTTCTAAAACTAGTTGACAAATAGTAACAAGATTTAAAATATTTTAAGTGGAAATCTGTTATAGCTCAGTAGAAATTATAATTTTTACAAAATTAATTGAGTAAAAATTCTATAATGAAAGTTATTAAAACTAAAAAAAATTATTTATTAGTATAAGTATTTTAAGTTAGTATTTGTTATAGAGAAGATAAGAAGGTGTTTAATTCTGTAAGAAAATATAGACAAAATGTATAATATTAGTTGATACAAATAATTTTAAATTCTTGATAATGTATCAATATGAGTATAAGATTTTTCAAAACAATACTGAATAGTATAATCGAATTCTTGAAGAACCAAAATCCAATAAGCAAGACAGTATAAAGGCTTCTTTGTTTTAACTATAAAGATCAAAATTGAGTAATCAGTTATAATATTAAATTAAAAATTATGTAAATAGGACCAAAAGTAAAAAAACAGCCTATATTACTGCAAGATATTCTTTTTTTGTTGTAGAATAATTTTTTTTAGCAAGTGACATAGTGTAGCTAATATACACAATAACTTATACTTTTCCTTCTTGGCTTTTTGAAATAGAATAGTACCTAGGGCAAAATCTGAAGTATTAGTTAACAGAATAAATAGCTTATTAAAATTAGAAAAAGCTAGTATAAAGACAGATACAAGGCTTCTTTTAAGCAACTCAAAAGCAGATTGTTAAGATGAGATCTATATATAAGTAATATTTTTAGTTAGTAATTTATTCAGCAGAGCTACAAAATTGGTAAAATTTTTAATGAAATGATAATAATATAAAGCTAAACCAAAAATCCTTAAAGCTAGTGCAAATCATATAGAACTAAAAACTTTTAAATAGCTTTTATCTTTTTAAGATTAGTAAAAATCTTCTTAGCACTTACAATATATTCTAGAAACTTTAATTTTTTTTGCAAAAAAAAATACTTAAGTTTGAACTTAAAGTTAGCTTAATGCAAAATAGAGAAAACTTAATAAAAGTAATCTAAATAATTAGAAAAAGAGAATAAAAAAACACTAATATTATCTAAATATACTACATTTTTTATTAATATCATTGAAAAGATGATCTATTAAACTTTAGAAGATGGCAAAAACATTTGTTAAACCAAATAGCATGATATTAAAAAAGGTTCTATACTTAATAATGAATACTGTTTTTTCTTTATTACTTTTACTTATTTTAATTTGCCAATAGCTAGAGTCTAGATCCAGAGATAGATACTATAAAAAACTATGCAAAATGTTTAACAAATTATCTATTTAGAGCAGGAGATTTTTATTCTTCTTAGTAACAGAATTCAGCTGTCTATAGTTAATATAAAACCTGGTCTTATTTTTTTGATTACTAAAACTACTAGAGAAGTCCAAGATCCTATAGAGAGGCAGATAATCTATTTCTTTAATATATAATCAAGCTCTTCTTGAAAGTAATGTCTCTCTTTGAAAAAATATTTGTAAGGTCTCTGCTTAATAGACAACACATTTCCAATATTAATAAAATGCTGAGTTATACTTATTTGTTTAAGATTAGTAGAAAACTAAGCAAAAATATCGTAGTTATGCCAAAGAAAAGATTTTAAATTTGTCAAAAAAGAGAAGTTTAGATCAAGAGGTTAAAAGAATACAATTTCTATTTTTTTTATAGTTGGGATAGAAGTTAGTTAACTCATTAGTATCTTTAGAGTTATTAAAAAAAATTAAATTATTAAAATTAAAAAAGTTAGAAGGCTTTGTTAAAAAAATAAATATGATTATAAGGAGTATTGAACTTAATCCATAATTTATTCAACTTGTTTTTAACAATAGTATTATCATTTTATTATAGTATTTATTAAAAAAACTACCTTTATCTATTTCAAAAAAATTAAAAACCCTATTTTTAATCTCCTTGTCTTCAAACTCTTCTTCTATTATACTCTCTTTAAAATTATTATCTTTAATCTCATTTTCATTTAACTCAAGAACCTTAGAAAGACAACTTTTTTCTAAAAGTTTATCTATAATATAAGAATATTCTACTGGTATTCAAAATTATCTCAGAAGACATTTAATTAATATTGGCATAGGTCTTACTAAGCCAATTATTACTAACAATAGCTTGATATGAATTGGCATTTGTTACATCAATATTTACTAGGATAGTTACTTCTGTGACTACAAATAGAAAGTCAGAAATTTTACTAACAGCTTTTTTACTCTTACTATGAATATTTACTATATTAATTATAGAGGGCCTTACTACTTTTATTTCTAGTTTCTGGAGCAAATATAATAATACAATACTTCTTGAGAACCTACTATTGATGATTAGAAAAACAGTTTTACCAAGAATCTGAGCATTACAATACAATGCAGTAGATTTATAATTTAAGTAAAAACTAAGATTATTTTTAGTCTTTTTCTTGATACTTGATTTTTATTTTTGCAATCTTATAGACAGTTCAATATTTATCAAAAAAACTATCTAAAGCAACTAGCCAAAAGTTATACTAGCAGATTTATTGTAAAAACTTATAATTATTAAGTATAAAAGTACAAGAAAAGATATTTGAGACAATATTTTTATTTTGTTTTTCTTACAAGGAACTATATTTTTTTTTGAGATTTATTAGAAACTCTTAATTTGTCATTAACCTTATCTTGTTTTAGAAGGTTCTGAAATTTTTTAATAGTAGTATTATCTTGGGGCTGTTTTCTAAATTCTACTTTAACACATTTATAGTTTTGAGTGTTATAATACTTAGAGGTAATATTATTAGCAAAGAAGAACTATCTTCTTTAAAAATATAAATGAAGCCTTGGTTATTATTATTAGAGAAATTAGTAATATTAAAATTAGTTTTTAAATTTAACAAGGTTTAAAAGTTTTTTGTTGAAGTTGTCAATTATTATTATTAGATACTTGGTTATTGTTAGAAGAGGTAAAATTATTATTATTATTAGTATAATTAGTATTATTAAAGAGATTTTTGTTATTATTATTATACTAAAGATTTTTATTATTATGACTATTGTTATTGTTATTTTTAAAATTGTTTCTGTTAAAGCAAATAGAAGCAATATAGCTAGTTCTTTTATAGTTAAATCAAATTATATTATGCTAAAAAAGATTTCTTAAAAGAAGTTTAGTATTTTTTTTAATTTAAGATACTATATTATTAAAAACATTAGTTGGCTTTTCAATAGCCAAATCTAATCTATTAGAGATTGGAGTAGAAGTTATAAATAGATTTAAGGAATGGTTAGCAGTTACAAAAGATAGATTATAAGAGGTTATATAAGAAAGATTTTGTTTGTAAGTATTTGAAAGACTTTAGTTCTATTATTTATAGCTTGTAAGTTATTGGAAGTGAAGAGTGCCATAGCTATTGAAAGTTTAGAGTAAAGCATATTTACAAAAATTTGAACCTTGGCTGTATCTAGAAACTAGGCAGAACTAGTCTCTATATAATGGAAAAGTTTAATAATTATAGTATAATAGGTGTTTATATCTTTAAATAGAATTTCTCTAAGTTAACTCAGCAAACTACTTACTCTTAAGCACCTAAGTTTGGAACTATTCAATAAACTTTATATAAAGGCTATTGTTTGGGTTATAATAATCATTCTATCTATTAATAGCAGGATATTAATTTTTATTAATTAACAACTAACTAGTAGCAAAGCCTTTAAATATGAAATGATTACAGTAATTTTATGACTATCTTCAACTTGGTCAGCTTCAAATGTTTTCTCAATATCCTTTATTCAAGTTAAGAGATCTTGTTTATCTCTAAAAAACCCAAAATAAGATATATAATTACTCTCATAAAGAGAAGAAGTAGCAATATTAACTATTGAAGAGAGTATAAGAATTTGGTTAATTAAATAGCCAATTTGGATAGCAAAATAATTAATTGTATCAGCTTGGTTATGATTTATTTCTTCTTCTAAACTTTTTAAATCTAATGCAGAATTATAATCTGGGGCTTTGGCTATAGTATTATCTGAATATTAACCCAATTCAATTAAATCTTCACTATTTGTTATTTTTTAAATTTGATTACAAGTGTTTACTTGGGGCCAAGAGGGTTTATAGTAAACCAATTACTTGAAATATAGATATTATGAAAGTTATTAAGAATATCACAGTAGTTATCAGAGTTTACAAAGTAGCAAAAGCTAAAAATAAATTTTTTTATAAATAACTCAGAAAGGTTATTAACAGAATAGTTATAAAGGTATTCAAAAATTCAAATAGTAGTTTGGGAATGACTGGTAATATAATAGTTTACATTAAACTAGTTAGTAAAAGTTAGAAATAAAATAGAAGATTGTCTACAATAGAGTAACGAGTAGTACAAGAAAGTTGGAGAAATTTTGATAAAAATAATTAACAATATATTGATTATCAAGAAATGCTCTATGATATCTATTATAAAGATTGTTTAAACAAAGGTAAAGATCAAAATCTGTTATATAAATAGCATTTATATAGTTTCAATTCACACAACTAGCATCATATATTACTATCTGTTTTGGAAGAGCAGAGAACTATAAGGCTAAATCAGCTCTGATAATAAACAAAGATAATGTTAAGATTAGAAATAATATAATAGATAATATAGTGTAAGGTTTAAAGAACTTAGAATATAACAATTCTGAAAGAGTAATTGTCTAACTAATTAAGGACAATAGCAGTGGGAATTAACAATTACAGATAGAATAGATTAAATTATGATAGGCAATTCAATGTATGCAGAATATAATTTAAGTTTATTAAATAATTCTATATAAATAAGAGATATGAAACTGAAACTGAAAATAATAAAATTTAGAAATAAATATAAAAGAAATAGATATAAATAAAAAAAAAAAAATTACAAATAAATAAAAAAAATACTAAACAACTCAAATAAAGACAAACTTAAATAGTAAAACTAAACCAAAAAATATAAGAAATTGAATCTATCTAATTAAAGTTTGAAGCTAATTCAAGGGCAAAGACACTACATATATATACATGTTTTCTTATCAAGACCTACACAGAACTACACACCCAATTCCCATAATACCTCTTTCGTATGCAGCTAAACTCTTATCAGAGGAGCTTTCACATGCTTATCAGAAGATAACAGAATTACTATAAGAAAACTATATCTATCTATAGTTATATGACATGATTGTCATTATAAAGCAACATGATCATCCAAAATTGCAGATGAACCACATGCCAGGCTTTTGGGATGCGACATGATGACAAATTACACTAACACCAGATTAGCAAAGGAGGTGAATATAATCTAAATAATATTTACAAGCAGTAATTACTAACTTAACTAGTATATGAGCATGTGGTGGCTTCGCTGCCCATCTTATTAATAATTAAATGTGGTGAGGTTAACTAAATTTATTGACTTGACAAAGCAGGTATTTAAAAATTAACCTTGATTGCTACATCAAGCTGATTGTTTAAAGCGTATAAATTATGAATTTTTCTGATTATTTAGTACATTTTATTTAATTAAATTGATTTTTTTGTTAAAGAATAAGTTGGCTTTATCAGTTAACATTAAATTGACTACAATTAACAATTTTACTTGTTGCTAATTAATAATACCTAATTAATTAAAATCAAGTTTAAATAAAATTATACAAGAATTTATTGGATCTTAGGAATTGGAACCATTTAACTAATTACATAAAAATCTTTTCTAACATTGATCATAGGCCAGGATTATCTTAATACTAGAATTAACTGATTAAGATGATTAAATGACCAAACTATTAGGAAATATTGATTTTAAGCTATTTATGGTTTGGCCTCACTTCGCTTGGCAGGTTTAAACTCTATAGTATTTATTACTTATAGGATTATATCATACAAAATTAGATGGGACACCCTGCTTTTTTTTTCTATTGATCAATGTGGTTGAGTCTGTGTGTATTTGAACTGCTATTATTTCTGCAATAAGTTATTAGAAAATTCTCTTATTGCTATTTCAGTCACGTAGTATGTGATTAAAGTTGAGATTATTTTCATTAGAATAATCCCGAATTCTATTATAAGTGACCACAGTATTGGTTTAAGTTGAGGTAACTGTGTTAGTTTGTAATGGAATTATCACATTTTCTATTGTGAGTTACCATTAACATTTTGTTATAAAACTTACTCATTATTCTGGTAATGATAAAAAAGTAAATTAGCTTGTATTGAAATTATCATAATTTCTATTATGAATTCCTATAAAAATTTGCTACAAACCTAACCAATGAATAATACGCAGTTAAAGTTGAGTTGTATTGAAATTACTGTGTTCTGTATCATGATTACTGCAAAAAATTCTCATACAAAGCTTGTTCGCTATTCTAATAATCATAATATAAGGTTAAGGTTTGAGTTAGTTTGCATTGGAATTGTTATGGTTTCTATTGTGAGTTACTGTAAAAAATTCTGTTACAAACCTTACTATTCTGATATCACTAACGCATGTTAATAATATTATCCATATCTCAGCTAATCTAATATCAAAGATACAATATGTGTATAATGAACGAAAGTCAATTTTCAAAAAATCATAGATAAGAAAATAAGGATAGCTGATTGTTTCTGTATCTTTGATTCTCCACAGAATTATGACAATCAAAATATCACAGCAATTACATAGTTTGCAATAATCATAATCCTTATAAAGTTAGCACTATAAATGCAATTTAATTAAACAATCATATTATTGATAGTAGCCTCAAGTTTTAATCAAGATTATTGTCACTAGATATATTAAAATCTAGAAATAAAAATCAAAGGGTTATTGATGCTTCACACATTATATGTGATACATTGTTTAATATTTGCTTTGATATTATATAATCGTAAAATATCCAATGATTAAACATACAAATAAGGAAAATGTAAAGCAATGATCAAATGTCAAAATAGATTAATAATGATCAAACACACCAAATTTTTCGCTAAAGCCTTTTTGCTATTTCTTTGAAGATCACTGATTATCAACTAATCAAGCCAGCAAAAAATCTGAAGAAAATAAAAGCAAAATTAAAAAAATATCACTCAAGGATATAAGTAAATATAGGGTGGAGTATATATAAAAACAACAAAAAGACATGTTTAGTAAGTACCAGCCCTGTTTTAATGATTTTGCAGTTTTTTTTTTTTTTTTTTTTCTTCATCTTTTCGCTTCTTCTCCATAATCATGATCATGATCATGATCATGTATTATATTATAAGATAGCTGCGTGATGCTGTCATGCAAAACCAGAAACGGAAGATATAAAAAGTACTGCATTTAGTAAATATACAGATTAATGCGATACAGTCCATATTATTCCAACAACAATCA